ATAAAATACCTCATTCCATTTTATTCCCTCATGAACCACTTCATTCTTTACCTCTGAAAGTTTTCGGGTCTACATGTTTTGTTCATAATTTCAGTTCTGGTCTTGACAAGCTTTCTCCTAGATCACATAAATGTGTTTTCTTAGGGTTTACAAGATCACAAAAAGGATACAAATGTTTTTCTCCTTCTCTTAACCGTTATTTTGTGTCAAAAGATGTCACCTTTGATGAGTTGTCTTTTTATTTTAAAAGTCAATCTTCACCTCTGTCTCCATCTAATCTTGTCAACACTCCTAATACATTTAATGTTCCTGTTGTTTGTGACCCTCTAACTGTGTCTTCTTCACCATTAGTTCCTGCTCCGCAGTCAGCTTCTTCTCCACTGCCTCTTCAGATTTATAGTTCTCGAAACCAATCACAACCACCACCATGTGACTCTACTCAAGTGCCAACTACTCTATCTCCTCCGGATTTGACACATGAGTCTGACCTTTCCATTACCCTCCGAAAAGGTATTCGTTCTACACGTAATCCCTCTCCCCATTATATTGCTTTGAGTTATCATCGACTGTCATTACCTTTTTATACATGTCTTTCCTCTATTTCTTCTGTGACCATTCCAAAAACTGTCCGTGAAGCTTTAGCCCATCCTGGATGGCGTCAGGCCATGTTAGATGAACTAAGTGCTCTTCATAATAGTGGAACTTGGGAATTGGTCCCGTTACCGTCTGGGAAATCTGTTGTTGGTTGCAGGTAGGTGTTTGCTATCAAAGTTTGACCTGATTGTACTATTGATCGCCTCAAAGCTCGTCTTGTGGCCAAAGATTATACTCAAATTTTTGGGTTGGATTATGGAGATACCTTTTCCCCTGTGGCAAAGATGGCTTTTGTTCGTTTATTTATCGCCATGGCTGCTCTTCAACAATGACTTCTTTATCAACTGGATGTTAAAAATGTTTTCCTCAATGGTGATTCGCAAGAAGAAATATATATGGAGCAACCTCCTGGGTTTGTTGCTCAGGGGGAGTCTTCTGGGATGGTATGTCGTCTTCGCAAATCCCTATATGGCCTAAAACAGTCTCCTAGGGCTTGGTTTGGAAAGTTTAGCAAGGTTGTTCAACAATTTGGTATGACTCGGTGTGAATCAGATCATTCTGCCTTTTATCGACACTCGAGTGCTGGATGTGTTTACTTGATAGTATATGTTGATGACATCGTTCTTACAGGTAGTGACAACCATGTCATCTCTCAGTTGAAACAACATCTTTATCACCATTTTCAGACCAAAGATCTTGGCAAACTTAGATATTTTTTGGGTATTGAGGTGACACAATCCAATGATGGTATTATTATATCTCAGAGGAAGTATGCCATAGATATTTTGGAGGAAACTGGGTTGATGAGTTCAAAGTCTGTTGATACACCCATGGATCCCAATACTAAACTTCTATCAAATCAGAGGGAGCCTATATCTGATCCTGAGCAGTATAGAAGATTGGTTGGAAAATTGAATTATCTTACAGTTACTCGTCCTGACATTTTCTTTGTAGTCGGTGTGGTAAGTCAATTTCTTAATTCACCATGTGAAGATCATTGGAATGCAGTTATTCGTATCTTGAAGTATATTAAAGGATCTCCTGAAAAAGATTGTTATATGGTTCTAATAACCATACAAGAGTTGTTTGCTACTCAGATGCTGATTGGGCAGGATCTCCTTCGGATAGAAGATCTACATCTGGATATTGTGTCTCCATTGGTGGTAACTTGATCTCATGGAAAAGTAAGAAACAAAGTGTTGTGGCAAGATCCAGTGCAGAAGCAGAATATAGAGTTATGGCCTCAGCTTCTTGTGAACTTGTTTGACTCAAGCAATTGCTTAGAAAGTTACAATTTGGAGATGTCACTCAAATGACACTTGTGTGTGACAATCAGGCTGCTCTTCATATTAGTTCTAATCTTGTCTTTCATGAGAGAACCAAATAGATTGAGATTGACTGTCATTTTATTCGAGAAAAGATTATGTCTGGAGATATCAAGACTAAGTTTGTTAACTCAAGTGATCAGTTACCATATATTTTTACTAAATCTTTACGAAGTTCTAGAATTGATTATATTTGTAACAAATTTGACACATACGATTTGTATGCTCCAGCTTGAGGGGGAGTGTTAGATATTGTTTAGATATTATTTGATATTGTTAAGATATTGTTAGATATTGGTAACCACAATATTAAACAATATCTTCTATTTATTCTGTTACTTTCATTTAATCTTTTAGTTGTATCTCTTTACTATAAATAGACTACCCTATGTGTGATTTATACACAAGGGAAAATAATTCCAAACCCTATTTTCTCTATATTCAACAATAATTGATGGTAGAAATCATATATGAAAAATATAAATAGTATTAAAAATCTCTTATTAATAAAATAAAGTGAGTTTATATTATCAAAATAAAGATTCTTTTTAATTACTAAATTTATGTTTGGTAATATTTAATATTGATAAACTTTATAAGAGTATTTATTTTTTTACCATTTGAATTAAAAACATATATTGTTAATTAAAAATATAAACGATATGATCGGTAATAAAGAAACAACGAGAGAAAAAGAAAAAAAATAGAGTAAACAATGTATCATTTATTCATGATTAAAGTGATATAAAAATAGCATAAAATTTCTATTTACAAATAATATATAAAAAATAAATCTAAGTATTTGTATAATTATAAAATTATCCATTTGATGATTAAGTAATTTTTATGACTAAATTTTTAAATAATTAAGATCTATTTTTTAATATTATTCACTCTGATTGGTAATATATATATATATATATATATATATATATATATATAATATTTTATCATAAAATTATATGTTTTAGAAAAGTATTTTAATTTAAATTAAGAAGATAATATCATATTTAAAAAATATAAAATATATTAAATTATTTATTTAAGGTTTAGAGTTTAGGACTGAGAATTGTACGGGGAGTTATAATTATTATCATTTAACTAATCTGATTCAATAATTGAAAATTCCAGTATTCAAGACAATATATAATACCTAATCATCCAAAGTTATATAAAGTTATATGTAATTCATCTACTCTCCATTGGGAAAATATCATAGGGAATAAAAAAATGCAAATGGTTATTAAAATAACTTATTTGGTTATGCTACAAAATTCGTTTACCAACATCGTTTTGTGTTCTTTAACTACATAATGATTAAATATATAATATTATTAAATAATTTTATTATATTGAAAAATGATACCTTTATTTTTTTACTAAAATTCACATGCCATTAATTTTTTTGAAGGAAACTTCTCCACCTTCAGATCAGCAAATACTAACCTTAAGACTAAACTGCCATGTGCCAAAATTAATTTTATTTTTAACAAATTAATAAAATAAGAGTACAATAAAAATATACTAATAATGTAAATATTTTATATTGAAAATGTTCGCAAATCATCAGTTATGATAAAATTATTGATTTTTTATGTTAATGAATTTTGTACACCATATTTCACATAATTTACAGTTAATTGATGCTGTATTTTTTTTTCTTACACATGTATAAAAATTAAATTCACATAATAAATAATGTTATAAATATTATATTTTTTATATTTTTATTTAAATTAAATACTAAAAAAATAATACTTTTAAAATAAAAAATATTATATTATTATTTTTATTTAGACAATTATGATTAAAATATTATTAATATTTTTATTATATATATATATATATATATATATATATATATAAATCTTAAAAATTCCATCAACATTATACTCACAAAATAAACAGTATTTTATTTTTGGTGACTTCTTTGAAAGCCTTTGAATTACACTTGACCTTTATCAAATAAATTTACTTTCCCGAAAGTATATATATAACATTATTTTCATTATCTTGTACGTTAACATTATTTTAGTGTGCTAAATTTTGTCCTTACAGAAAAATTATATTAATTTAAAGAATAAAAAGGAATTATCACGTAGAAAAACATATTTTTATCAAATAAAATAAAACATATAAATGTTTACTGGTTGTTTGAAAGGAATGTGGGGGTATATTTTAATATTTTTCTAATTTAATCTCTCACTGAAGATTTACATTGGTGTCTAAAATTATTTAAATGAGAATTATTATTTTTTAAATTATTATTCTATCACTTTATGACCTGTTAGCTATTTCTATTTATTTACATAGTTTTTCTCCAAAATCCTCTGCATTATTTACATACCTTTTATTAAGAAATCATAAATATTATTCATAAAAGATATTTTATTCTAGCACCACTATTATTATTATTTTACTTTTTTTACATATTTTTCTTAGGAAAATAATATATGTATATTCTAAATGTGTCAAATACTCACTTAACATCATCATTTGATATTTTTAATTTAATTTTAAATACAATAAATTAATTTTATAATAAAAACCCAGATTTAAAATATATTGCTGATTGATAAAAAATAAATAAAAAAATTCATTCAATCCTTCTCATTTCTCAAATTTTTTATTATAATTAATTTAATTTATTTTCTTTAAATTTAAAATATTAAATCATAGGTATTACGGGTGTTTTTACCCCCACACACACACACACACACACCCACATCTATCTATCTACACATACATATATATATATATATATATATATATATATATATATATATATATATAATTGAAATCTTGTAATCAAATTTAACACCAGCTAGCTTTAACTACATCTTAAATAAACACAAAATACTAACACTAGCTAGCTTGAACAAGATCAAATGTTTCCATTCCTGTGGAGTAGCTCTTTCAAGGAACAAAAACATTAACACGTTGGTTTTTTCTGCCTTACACATTATTTATACAGAAAGCAAGGCACAAATACATAAACTAAAGAGGAAGTCCACACAGCGAACATGGTCATCACTGCTGAGATTGACCTTTATTGCACAATCTAGGGAACTTTCCTTCACTTCACATGGTGGCTTCTGAAGGTTGGGGAACCCACAACAGATGTTTTACGGGGAAGAAGTGGCACACTGGATCCTGCCCAGCTTTAATTCCAAGCTGCCTAAATATAATGTGGTCTGGATTCCAATCCGATGTGTCCAAATGACAAATGCCAAGAGCTTCAACTTTGTTATCTCCATTCTCACTGCCCAGTGAGACCTTGAACACCTTGCTCCCTGTAGCTATGAAGTGACAATAGTAAAGAGCATAAGGGTAAGGTAGGGGATGACAAGCCACCCATTTAGGAGCATTGATATCTTCTGATACTTCCAATATGGTGAACTTTTGTAGCGGGACACCAGAGGCTGTGGGGAGGCTAGTTGTGAGAAGATTGCGCTTGGTCTCTGAACCAATGGTGGTGCCAACGAATTCGAGCATGGACTCTAAAGAGGTGGCACAAATCTTGGTCTCTCCTGTGATCGGTTCTCCTTCACATTCTAGAAGTGTTTCTCTCATGGCATTGGCCTCGGGAGAATCTTCAGAGATTGAGAAGAGTTGAAGAACACTTGGAAGTTGTGAGGTTGAGAAAGGAATAGAGTCAGCTTCTTTTTTGGGGAGGAAGTGAGAAACCTCTTGGATGGGAAATTGTAGTGTCATCACATTCCCAACATGAAGATCATCCAAAGCGAAAAATCCTACCTTGAAAGCCTCTGTACGATCAACGTTCGAAGACTTTTTCGGGTCATTTTTGGGACCGGTTCCACCATATTGTGCAATATAAGGTGCAGTAGTATCATCACTGGTTGAACCTTTTGAAACTTTCTTGGAGCCATAGGCAGTAACGTAAGGATGATTGGCTTCATGGCCATGAGTGGTTCCACCATAACTAGTTATATAAGGTACAGTAGTATCATCACTGGTTGAATCTTTTGGAACTTTTTTAGCACCATAGGAAGTAATGTAAGGATGGTTGGCTTCTTTTGCAGGAGTGGTTCTTGCATAACTAGTTATATAAGGCACAGTAGTATCATCATTGGGTGACTCTTTTGGAACTTTCTTAGCACCATAGGCAGTAATGTAAGGATGGTTGGCTCCTTGTGCAGGAGTGGTTCTTGTATAACTAGTTATATAAGGTACAGTAGCATCATCACTGGGTGAATCTTTTGGAACTGTCTTAGCACCATAGGCAGTAATGTAAGGAAGGTTGGCTTCTTGTGCAGGAGTGTTTCCACCATAACTAGTTATGTAAGGTACAGTGGCATCACTATTGTGTGACTTTTTTGGAGTTTTCTTGGCACCATAGGCAGTAACGTAAGGGTGATTGAAATCATAGGTGTTGGTCTTGTAAAAGTAATCAGGTTGGTTGGCTTTGTGGGCATCACTAGTTGTGTAACTAGCTTTGTAAGGCTGATTGAGCTTTTCATGGTGATGGTGGTGCTTAGTAGCAGTATATGAAGCTATATAATTTGGTTCAACAGATTTTGAAGTGGTTTTGTAGCCGCCAAGGTAAGGTGTGTTGCTTGAGACCAGGGTGGCTTTGCCCTCATCCACCTGTTTCTGATCTTGCAGCTCTACCTTCATATCTCTAGCTCCAATATTGTGGCCATTCTACAATAAAAAGTCAACGAAAAGGAAATAAGTGACAATCTTTTAAATAAATAAATAAATAAAATTATTTTACAACTCTAATTACTAATATAATAAACATAAAATATTCAAATTAGCTATTTAATATTTTTTGTGCAACTGACATTTAATCTATTGAGAAATGCTAGAATTATACTTGTATACATAAAATATTAATGAATATCAATATTTTTTAAATTAGAAATTCAAAATAGTAAAATAATTAAGAATTAATAGATCATATTAAACCCGAGTCCAATAATAAAGTTGTCTAATTTTAGAATTCAAAACTTTTTACCATAAGTAAGAAAAGGAAAAGAGAAAGAAAGTGAAGAGGAAGAGTAGCAGCCATGATGGTGCTCAGTGGCAATGGGATGAGAAGTGGCCAACCTTTTTATAGGTGCTAACCACTCAGGTTTCATCCATTAATTAATATATGTAGCTTATACAATAATAATATTATTACCTGATCATCACGCAAAGGCTTGAAAAATCCAACGTATAAAGATAATACAATATAATTAATTCTAATTCTTTAGATAATGTTTAATTAAAAGTTTTTTTATTAAGTGATGTCTATTATTTGTCCTTATTCATACAAATAGTGTTATTTGAAAAAGCAACGAGGTAATGTCTTTTTTATGGTATAAACGAAAAACATTTATGCAAAACAAATAAAATTAAGTTAAACATTCACATTAATGTTGAAGAAAATTACTACGTATAATGTTTGATTCAATATTAAGTTTGTTGACATTCGAATCATTAAGTTTGTTTTAATATTTAAATGCTTAATGTTTTGGTCATGCTTTTATATTGAAAAGACCATTGGTAAATTAAGGGGTAAAAAATGTACATAAATCAATATTATCACGATTGGATCGGATTGTGGATTCAATTGATTCTAAAATTGGTTTTTTATTTTTAGATCAATTTTCAATTTTTGTTATAACTAATTGATTGATTTTTTATTTTTAGATCAATTTATAATTTTCAATTAATCTATATAAAGTAATGTTTATTTTTTATTATATAAAGTAATGTTATTTTATAACTAATTCATTGATTTTTTATTTTTAAATCAATTTTCAATTTTTTTATTGAACCAATTTAAATATCCCTAAATATTTTTTTTAAGATCTTAAAGTCTTTGGTAAAACCTTAATTTTAATATATATATATATATATATATATATATATTATATAATATTTTTATGTAATTTAAATAATTTTTAAAATAAAACACCCATTTATTTATTTGATAATAAAATTATAAAAAATTAATTATAAAAAAGGATAAAATTAATTTATCTCTTATAAAAAGAGATAAGCATGTTTTTTTTTAAATCTAGCTTATAATTAATGACATTTAATGTAAAAAAATAAATAAAAAATAAAAATCAATTTTAAATATAAATAGGAGGTAGGAGGTGTGAAAAAAAAAGAAAAAAAAAGAGAAAGACAAATAGGAAAGAAAAAAATGAATAGCCTTTCATTTGTAATTATTAAGGTAAATAAAATAAGATATTTATCATTTATTTATTTTATTTATAATATTTGATTTTATTCTACTTACTTATTTTATAATTATAATTATTTAATAAGATGCTTGGGAGCTGAGGAAGGTCATGACCCTCCCTCAAAGTTTTGTAACTCCTATGTAATTTATGATTTTGTTCCCTCCAAATTTAATAAACATTTAATATATTTACTTGTATATTTACAATTTTATCCTCTAAGTCCCTCGTCAGTTTTGTAACTCTCATATAATTTATGATTTTGTTCCCCTCAAACTTAATGATCATTTAATATATTTAAGTATATATATTTATAATTTTATCCTTTCACCCTTTCATCTTCTTACTTCATTTTATATTTATTTATTATTTATTAATAATATATTATTTGACCCCTTCAAGATCAATAATCAAGATCCGCCACTGATTACAAGAGAAAACATTGTCGCACAAACACAAGTATTTATAACCCATTATATTTTAAATAGTATATAAATTTATAGGAAACATAGATGAAAATAATGTTTTATTTAATGAACACATATTTCATATTTGAATATTTGTTTTCCCTTTAATTAAAAACTTATAAATAATAGAGTTTTTATTTAAGATTTCAGTCGAGATGTAGCACTATTTTTTAAAAATAATTACAAAAATACTTACGCTTAGGTGTCAAATAAAATTTATTTATAAATGGTCATGTTTGCAATTTTTTTAATTATTAACAATTTTTTTATATTTATTAATTTAGTTATGTAATTTATTTATATTTATAAAAATAACCTTGCTTCTCCAAATTTTAATATAATATAGGTTTCCCACCTTGCAAGCTAAACTATTTTAAAAATTCTGCCATGTGCTGCTCATTAATTATCATACGACTTCAGCTAAAAAACTAAAAAAACGGTCATTATCGAACCTTTTTTTAACAAAATGCACTACACACAAGTTAGTAAAAAGTTATAATATTAATAATGATTTATGATTTGAGTGATAGTACAAATTACTTATATTTAGAGTACCTAAATATTAAATATTATTTTATAATTGTATATATATATATATATATATATATATATATATTATTTCAGTAGGTTTATAAATCTACCAGATATAAAAAAATATAATTTATAAAAATAAAATTATGACAAATTATAACTCTTGATATTAAACTATATATATATATATATATATATATATATATATATATATATATATAATTTCTTCAATCTATTGTTTATGGGAGAAAAAAATAATTTTTATTTATATTATATTTTTATGTAATACAATCATAATTATTTTTTCATATTTTCACTTAAATATATAATAATAAATAAAAAATAATAAAAACATGTCATTTTTTTTCAATTACATTTTTTATTTCTCTTCTTATTTATCTTTAATTATTTATAATTTTAAAATTAATATATATATATATATATATATATATATATATATATATTAAAATAAAAATACGCTCACAAACACTGTTATGTTTCTGCTAATATTAATGATTTGAATATAAATTTAATTTGTGTAAAATAAACAAATTAATCTTTTTATGAATAACTTTTTTTTATCTTATTGAAATTTAAAATATTACTTTTAGTTCTTATAAAATAACATAAAATTGATTTTAATATTTGTAAACTTTTAATTTTCATTTTTCTACAATTCTAAATCACATTTTTTTATATTATTTAAAAATAAATATTTTTTTACATCATTTAATTTTTAATTTCAAATACATCATTTTTACTATCATGTTAGGCTAATTACTTACCTTTTTTTCATTCAACAGATAAACAAATAATGAATATTACTCAACATATAAGCAATTAATAAATATTATATAATATTAGAATTAAAAAGTATTAATTTTTAATGTACAAAACTATAGGTAAATATATTTGTTTACAAAAATCAAGATTGGATCTGCTTGTTCTTTTCATGGAAGATTGAGAACATATTTAATTGACATTAATATTAATATAATGAATAATGACACACAAAAGTGATTTAAAATATACTTATCTGTTTTTTTTCTTTTATTTCTTTTATATAAACATATCCTTTCTGAATATATTAAAATGATTTAAAAAAAAAATCTGAATCTAACATTGTGGATGTTCTTGAAAGATTATCCTAGTAACATAAAATAAATAAATAAATAAATACATGAAAGGTGGGTTCTATCTTGACCAGCATATTACATTAATATAGTATGATATTAAAATTATTTCATTAATATTACTCAAACTTAAAAAAAATAATATATATATATTAATTATTATTTTTATATAAATATATTTATAGTTTTTTTTTTTCAATAATGTGTCCTGTTAACACAAGATAATAGTATTATACAAAGAAATTATTTGATTCTGAGATAAATAGTTGAAATTTTGAACCGTTTAAAGCATCGTTATCTTATTCAGAATCAATATAAATAATTGATTTTGGGTTAAATAATATATTATTAAAAAATAATAAATAAATATAAATAGATGAAAAAAATAAAAAGGTGAAAAAAAATTATTTTTAATTAAATTTTTATATATAATATAAAAAATAATAATAAATCAAGAAAATAATAACTGATAATTAAAAGATAATAATTAAAATAAAAAATAATAATTAATAAAATAATATATAATTAAATAAAATAATTTTAATAGATTTAACTAATCATACCATTATAAAATGAATCATTTATATACTGCTATAAAAATATAATGATGGATAAGTTTGTACATGTGCAGTGATGAGAAAAGAAATGTTGTTTTATTATTCTCCGCCATTTGAGATAAAAACTCCGCCATTGTCGGGTCATACAGGTACTTTGTCAACTGAACAAATATTTTTTAGTGTATGCAGGTGCGTGAAACTTCTTGTGTTTATAAACAAATACTTTTTTACTCACAAAACTTTGTAAATAGCAATTGATTATAGGTGAGGATCTTTTCACCACCCAATACCAATACACTGGATAAGGCCAAATCATAAGCTGGTACAATTTACAATAAATTTTTTTCTTTTTAATAATTTTATAATTGCAATTATATATTATTTATTTCTTTTTCCAAAATTTATCAAAACCTCAAATAAAAGAAATCAAGTTATTCATATGTTAATATATTTTTGGAAGTATATGTATTATCTTTTTTTAAAATATTACACTAATTCGGTATAAAAAATATATAAATTTTATCAAATCATTTTTAATTATTTAATTTGTGTGTATAAATAAATTTATGTAAATTATATATATATATATATATATATATATATATATAAAATTAATTTATTGTTACGTATATTGTGTTTGTTATATATAAAAATAGAGAAATAGATTTAGTAAAAAAAATTCAAAATTGTTTTATTTTACTTTATTTTTAGTTTTTAAAAATATTTTAAATATCAATTTTAAAAATTTAATAAAAAAAGAAGTTGAAAATAAATTTTATTTGATAATTTCAGTTTGAATTTTTTAAAAACAAAAAGATGACTAGTCACAAAGAAAATTAAAAAATGATTTTAATATGGATGATGAAATATGTAATACGAAACTTAAATACTATTAATTAAAAAAGAAACTACAAATATAAAACACATTTTTATCATTTTATTTTTTATTTTTTAAACTAAAAAAAATCTTAAAGATAATTTTTTAGTTTTTAAAAACTAAAATTATAAAAATTATTTTTAAACAAATTATTGATCATTTTATAATTTCTATACAACTTAAACTTTTTGCTTTTATTAATAATTAGCGAGAAGAGAAATTTATACATCATTAATAATAAAGATTAATTAATAACATTGTAATATCCTTATAAAACTTACGGAAAATAATTATTTTCTGAAATACGTTATTATGTTAAGAAATAAATTAGAAGAGACGAAGGAAGATCGGTTTTAGCTTCATCTAAACGTGTGATGGTTTAGAATCGATAGGAATGGAGACTTAAAAATTATAAGAAAAAAAATCATAATTATTTAATAAAAAAATTTATATTTCTATAAATAGGTTGAAATTGTTGTTTCAGTTTAAATATCAACACATTCTATGTTATTGTTTTAATTAAAAGATAACAAGTGATTTGATATCATCACTGTTATTTATTTCCTTTTCTTTAAGCCAATCGTGTATCTGGTTTAAGTAAGTTTTCAAGCCCATGAAATATATATTACATGTATATCCCAGAGAGCAAGGTAGAAGATAAAAATATCATGAATTGTATATACAGGAAAAAAAAAAAAGAATATATATATATATAATGGAAAGATATGACAGAGTCAGAAGAAACTTATTAGTGCTTGTGTGACAAAATTAACAAAGATATAATAGTTATTTGATGATTCAGAAGCTATGATTCTATTGTGAATACCCCAAAATGGGAAAAGAAACATGAGTGAGATGAAGTAATGAAACAAAATGAACTCCATAATTGTAAACACTTAAATCAAACCATTCTATGAAAGTAAATTTCAATAATAGCAAAGCAACCATGCAGAACGTCAAATTCTCAACATTTGCAAACTATCATTAATTAATGAAATTCTACAATATCAGTTTGACAAGAATTAAACATTTTTCAACCTCTTTAAGATATATCCTGCAAATAATCTGTATTCAATACTCTGTTTCCAGGACGCCATCAATAAGACCAAACTCCAAAGCCTGCACAAAAAAAGGCAGTGACAGAAACAGTCCAGTGAGATCAAACAATTGTAGAAACAAAGATCAAAACATAATCTTAGCTTTAACTAAAACTAGCCACCTTAATAATCTCCTCCCAAAAAATAGACAAATGGCTATTTAGATTACAAGAAACACTGGTGTTTTTGAGATACATTAATTTTATAGATTAATTTAAGTCAACCACCTGGTATAAACTAAACAGACAGTCCAAAATTACACGAGTCCGTCAACTTGAATTTTTTTTTTTTTTATCTAAACTTTGGCTTGTCTGAGAACTTGTCCTCAACTCAATGAACTCAGAAAGAGTTTACTTTACCTCAGAAACAGACAGAAAACGGTCCCTCTCTGTGTACTGTTGCACCTTCTCTAATGGCTGCCCGGTAAAAGCACTATACATCTTGTCAATTTTCTGAAATCCAAAAAGAAGGAGGGAATTAGGCATAGCATTCCAAAAACTAACAAATAAAATGAAGCCGCAGAAACTTGGGCATGTGATGAAGAAAATATGTCAATTGAAGTGTTTAGTTTCACTCATTGAAGCTTTTTAAATGGATTTCTCCATAAGCACTTTACGATAGAAAATTTGAAATTGACTTTCTCCATTATGCATAAGCTAATTTGTAGAAGCTATGTCATACAGTTTCTATAAATTTTTATTTTTAACTAGTGCATCAACTAATTTTAGTTTGTGGAGGAAACTCATTTCATTTTTTTTCTTATTTTTCTTTTCTAGAAATACTTATGGAGAAGTTTTCCAAACAGACCCATTAAAAATTGAAATACAAGTATAATGTACAAGACATAGTTCTCTAGTGACAGAGAATCCTAGAGTCAGTGCATGATTATGAATTGAGAAACCACAACACCTTAACTTCTTTGATTGTCACAAATATAGGTGCTACAATTATGAGTTAAAAAAATACTGTTCTCAGCATTCAAGATCATAGGAGCATTTAAGGTTGTCCAGAAATTAATAGAATCAATGTAGATTGAATATGACCTAACATTATAGGTGTTGACAAATTATAACCTATCTAAAGTACAATCAGAGGAAGAAAGACTAACATGGCGAGATTGAACGGCTTCATTCACTTGGCGTCTGACATCCTCAACATGACCCTGTAGTGAGATTAAGAACAATCAGAATACCAATGTCTGTCTACTGTGTATTGACCAAAGAAATTCACATAACGCTCAAAGATAGATAGATCCTCCCCCACCTTATCAATCAAAAGTATTTTATAGTACATCCGGCATAAAGGATGAGCCTTAATTAGTAAATGCATTGAAACGTCAAATTTCAAATTACAAAATGCATTATACAATTAGCATGGTAGTTGACTTCGAAGTTCAAACACAACGTTCACATTGGAAGAGATCGGATAAATATAACTTTTTGATGATTCATTGCAACTTGTCAATCAAAATTATTGGGCTAGTTAACAGAAAATTTGGAAGATCATGTTCAATCTCATGTATGGAAAATTGTAGAAGTTTGTAACTTTTAAGGAGGAAGGGAAATATGATGTGGTTTTGACCACTCTGATCATATATTAGATGGTATGGTACAAAGATCAAATTTGTCATATCTTAATATTATTATTATTATTATCATTATGATGATGATGATGATATAATTTATCACTGCAATATATATTACTTTCTACGTCTAATCAGTATGGTAGATTTTTCATTTTTCTGTTTCATGTCTTCTCAGCTTCTGTAACAAAAATTTCAGAAGTTTCATTCTTACCCCACATCCACTCTGTGGTTGATGTATCATTATGCGAGCATTTGGCATTGCGTAGCGCATTCCCTTCTCTCCTCCAGCAAGAAGAAGTGCACCTTGGCTTGCAGCTACTCCAAAACACACCGTACCAACCTTGGGCTTTATCTGAAAAATAGTCACCAAATGCTTTCAGGGTTGAAACACTAACAACTATTAGGGAATCAACGTAGCTAATTTAGGAGGGATAATGTAACTGGACTCAAACGGAGTCAGTGTGTGAATATTGGAAAGGATGACAAAAACATGATCTTACCCAAGACATGCAATCGTAAATTGCCAACACCGAATATGTGCTTCCACCAGGGCAATTTATATATACCTGCCAACAAAAGCAGCACGATAAAATCCCATTTCATAACTTAATGAACGTGAAGTAACAATGTCACAGACATAACAGACCAGTATATCTGCTTTTTCATCAATAGCAGCAAGAGTCACAAGCTGTGAAATAACTTTCTGAGCCACTTGTGAATTGACTGGCTGTCCTATGAATATTATGCGATTCCTGAACAAAACAGATGACAGATCAAGTGGTCCTGCAGGAGTCATCACTGCTGGTGTTATTGGTGGGTTCCCCTTCTTGGCTTCAATTGCACCACAACTACAAGTAAACTGGAACATCAATAGGTTGTTTATCCATTCAATAATAAATAAAAGGAATGTGTGCAGGACTATATTCATGTCTGTGTGGGAATAATTTATCAATTGAAGTAGAATAGGTATTAAAAAAATTTAATAAAAACAAAATTCTGCAGTTTAGCTATATTGTAACTTGTAGAGACTATCAGTTAGATAGGTCATGATGCTTATTGCCATGCCACTGTCTATCAACAGAATGCATAACAGCATTAGTAAAATTTCATGGTGCACCACTTTATAACCTAATTCACCTCTACACAGATACACTTCTCTTTTCCAGTAAACAATCACAACAGACAAATCAGGCCCTGAACAATGCATAATGGTCAAAAATAGGTATTCAGAGGCATCATACCAAACAAACACGTAATACACAAAGCACCTGAAAAAGGAAGTGAGCAAAATTCTACCTTGTACTAGCACCATGGATATTTTTCTCATCAAATTTTAAAGGAAAGCCGCGGCTTTTACTTGATAACCCTGCATAAAATAAAATATACATACGATTACATGTTTTAGCGTAGCCATGTTCTCACAAGTCATAACTTAATACCCAAACGAAAAAACTGCTTATATATTAATAGGATTTAATTTTGATTCACTAACAGTGTAAAGAGTTTCAAATAATCAATGAACCATAAGGTAACAATTGCTCAGAAACCGATGCTACAACGAGGTGTAACAGTTATGTGCTAATTTATGGAATTGTGGTCAAATTTCTTAAATAACGCAAGACAGTCACTTATCATAAAACTAGGCCAATTTCACGAGAACCAACCTACTATTGCATCAAAAATAGCGTTAACACACACAAAGAGAGAGTAATACACCCAAAACGAGATTAAACTATCACAGCCTAGAAAAGCAACCAAATTTTGAATTGCAACAAAAAAAAAAAGTTACCAACTTCTGATGAATGGCCATATGGACTAGGAACAGAAGAAGCTATCGAACACCGGTTTCTGGTAAAATGGGAGTTTAAATTTCAGGTTCTGAAAAATAATTGAAAAAAAGAGAGTGAAAGTTGCAATGGGTAAAATAAATAAAAACCTGTGAGAAACTAGAAGGTGGGAGGGACTTCTGGTGCGAGAAGCTATGGTGAAGCTGGCACTGGCAGGCACTGACAAAGCTTGAGGTACCATTGTTGAAACTCCGAAACAAGCTGGAACAGAGATACTAATCTTCTATTCGATCTTATACCCAGATTAAAATTGTTTTGTTTTTCCAAGTCCATTGGATCCCTCTGTGGTTTGTGGCCCATTTATGTTATAGCCCGTTTTGCTGCTAAACGTATTCACAAATAATAGCTTTACTTTTTTAAGAATTTTCTAGAAAAAAAATAAAATCCCGATTGAGTTATTGATATATTTTTTAATTTCCTTCATAAATGAAATAACTTTTCTTTTTTTAATGGCTCCTTTGCTAATTTTTCATTACATGACAAATTTTTTACTTTGTAGTTGCTCTAAAGATCACTAGTTTAAGATAATAATGAGAAACTTGTAGTGTTTAAAAATATTAAATAAATGAAAAAAATTACGACATCTAAAAGGATAGTTAATAAGAGAAAATGACACTTAATTAAAAAAATAAACAAAATTTTAATCTATAGATCATTTGAAAAATAAAATGTTATATCTAGAAAAAAAATAGAAAGCTAATTAAAAAATATGAATCTATGATGTAACTATTGAAAAAAAAAAAACATTTTAAGTTGTTATGAGTATATGGACACCACGTAGAGTTGTTTAAAAATCATTCCTTTTTTAGAATTTAAATATGAAGTTAAATAATATATAAGTAAAAAAAATTTAAAATTTAATATCTTAGAGTTTTAAATTCTAGATAGTATTATATTCTTATATATTACTTTGTTTTATTTTATAAAAATCTATCATAACATTTTAAAATCGGTATTAAATCTTTGATTAATTTAGTTACCAACTCGGTCAAGTAGGATTATCATTTACAAAAAACGCGTCTTTCTTATATAAATTATATGTGATTAAAAAATATTTATGTTTGAAGATAGAGTATTTTAGGTATATGAAATCTCACTTAAAAAAAAATATTATAATTTAAGTGTGAATAAAAATAAAAATAATTAAATTAAATAACATACTCACATATTTACTCCCCTATAAAAATCCTAACTTGTATAAACAATTTTATCGGATTTTAAATCCCATGGAGTGAATAATAAAATGTTGAATTTTATTAATAAAGAACTCTTATTAACCATTCTTTTAAGAATCAGTACTCTAAAATATTCTTACAATAATTTGAAAGTTGTGACTTTTGTCTTTCATCATCTCAGGTTGTTTTGCTGTTATGGTTTAATTTATATGCTTGCTTGCTGTTCATTTCATGAGGGCTATATATGTAGGATATTTATAGTATATTGCAAATCTTGATACTGGTTTTTTTAATATATGGGTGTAATTTTTTTTTTAAATTATCAAAATGGATAAATTTTTAAAAAAATTATATGAGTAAATCGTGTTATCAAGACTACTCTACTTAATTTCTAACACAACTTAATTATTTTTTAAAACAAAATATAAATTTATATAGAAGTGGTAGTATATAGTACGAATTCTAATTTTATATTATAATAATTATTATAATTAATAATAATATATTTTATATTTTCAATAATAAATTAAATTGTAGGGATAATAATTTAATTTATATTTTTATTAAAATTATTGTTTATTTTATTGTTTAAATTAATATAATTATTACGTGAATTATAATTATTAATGTAATAACTATTATATTAATATTATTAAAATAAAATAATACAAAAATAAATTATTATTAATAAAATTAATAATATTATCAATAATTATATTATTATTAATAAAATAATATTAATAATAAGATAATTCTATTAATAAATATAAGTTTATTATTATTATTATTTTAATAATAATAATAATAAAATAATATTAATAATGAATAACTATTAATAAAATTATATTTTTATTAAATGACAATAACAAATATATAAATAAGTAATAGAATTATAATTATTAAAATAATTATTTTATTTTTAATATTATTTTTTATTTTATATAATTATAATTGTTAGTATATTTTATAAAAATAATTACTTTTAACAATATTATTTTTATTTTATTATTAATTTAAATAATAAAATAAATAATACTTTTAATAATAATATAAATTAAAATTTTTATCATTATTATTTAATTTATTATTAATAATATAAAATATTTTATTATTAACTACAATAATTCTTATAATATAAAATTAGAATTCATATTAGAGGACAACTTCCATATGTGTTAGTAGGACTACTATTTATCTAAATCCGTAATTTTTTAAAAATTTACACATTTTAGTAAATTTAAAAAGAAATTACACATAAAAAAAAAAACAAAAAAAGCCCTTGGATACTTTTTATTATATTCTTTGCAGCTATCATTATAATATATAGCACCACTATTGTGCTACCTGTACTAATCCTCCATAAAGGCAAGGCAAAAGAAAAGAGTTGAAAAATCATCTTTGGACAAGTTTGGATACAAAAGCTACGTAGCTATCACTCTCATATCAATGGGGTCATGAAGAAAAAAAAAAGAGCCATATTGTTTTGGTTGAATTTTGACCTTATAAAATGAACAGTGGGAAGTGGCAACAGATCATATCACTTTTCTTGATTCTTATACTTCCCAGAATGTTTGACTAACATCATGCATATGGTGTTTTGTTGATGAGATCCTTTGACTCTTTGTGAGTCCCAAGTAGTGGGAAACTGAAATTGTTGGCAAAACTGTTGAATCTGCAGCAACTGCCATAAACCTCAAGGCCTAGTTCAGACCACTCAAAATTTTCCAACACAACCACTCAAACCTTCATCAAAATAGATTATGGTATGTTTCAACACCATAGTTTGTTTATGATTTTAATCAATCTTTATTGAACATGTAATAAAGTTTTCAACTTTATGAAATAGTTCATAAAGTTGAACTAAATATTGAGTGATATACAGTAAATTTCAGATAAAAATCATTAACATTAGTAATTTCTGACCATATACTACTATGTCAGTCAAGGGTAGAATAAGAGATGCCATGACAATAATATAAGATAAAATTAAGAGTGTGAGTCTTTATAATCATATATAACACATTAAGTTTATCTAATTATTATAATTTTCAACCACATTGGTATAAAATAAAATAAAAATGAAAAGATTTTGAATTGTTTCTAAAGTATTTGACATGACACGAGTACAGTATGATAAGACTATTTTTTTTTCTTAACTTTATGAGTGGAGAAAATGAAATAAATCAATGATATAATAAATACTATCAAATCAATATTTAAGCACTTTTTTAAAAAAGAAAACTTCTTGTTTGACTTTTTTTTAAGCACATGTAAATTTATATCGGTTTCTCTGGAAGTTAAGAAACAAAAATATTTATCTCATAAAATGTTAATAAGTGTGAAGTTAATCCAAATTAATTAAGTGTAAGACAACATGATTATGCTTTTATTAAACTAATATTAGCCAATGAGGACTATATCTAGTTTTTTTTCTCCAACTCTCATTCCATAGATTTTCCTAATTTGCTCTGAATAAAAAAATCACATGACAAGGTCCCAAATTAGGGTTACACCCTAAGCAAGTATTCGTCAGTCCCTACCCAAATAAAGCACTAATTTCCCAATTTATTTATGTGTTTGGGGTGGGATTAATTGAGATAGATATTGCTAAACCTTATTATTTAACTAATTGTGGAAAAGCACTTGCCCAATGGGTTGCTTCTAAAGATAATTATCTCTTCCCTTGTATATTTTTTTATAATGAGTTGAATAAACGTTGTTTAATTAGAGTGACGTACGCAACTTTTGGTGCCATAAATAACTTACAAGATTTATTTATTTCTAAATTGAATAGATTGTCAATGTCCTTTTAATTGTCATGATCAAATAGCCTAAGCAAACATCATCAAAAGGAAAAAAAAAAGAAAAAAAGAATGCATTGTGTCTTCAACCACATAGCACATTAATGAATTAATAATTTAGAAAACTCATCAAGAAAAAAAAATTGTATGTTATAGAGAGAGAATAGAAACTAAGTTGACTTTGGGATCCAGATAGATCACAACCCATCCCCCACAGAAAAAACAGAAGCTAAGCTTCACAAAAATGGTGCTTACATGCCACGCATGAACCTATAGGAAACAAAATAAAGTGCAAGTGAATTTTGATTCCATTTCTTTATAGGCATCATAATCAATTTTTTTAGTGATGCACATTTAAGTTGACTTTTGAAGAACTCATAAATCATATCTTATTTAGGGTTTGTCTTTTTGTGAACTTTATCTCATAACAGCTACTCTCAGTGAATTTGATGGAAACCCTACTCCAAACAACAGTGATATAACACAATTATTGTATATACAAGTGTGATAACTTTTTGAAAAATTTATTAATTTAATTATATATTTCATCCTTCAAATTTAAACTCTTTGCAAATTTTACCATTACAGTTTTTTTTTCATTTTAGTGTCATATAAAAGAGTAACAATTTGTTGATGTATACCTAAAAAATTGATGTTATTTTATTATTGTAAATGATAAAATATGTAAAAATATTTTAAAAAATTATAATTATTCCATTTAGAAACAAGTATATTCTGCTCTTAATTATAATAATATCAGATCAGATTAATTATGATGATTGAAGTATTTTTTATTTTAAAACTTTTATTTATAACGATTTTATCTTTAATATATATAAACTATTTTTAATCTTAACTCCTAAATCAACAACCATATTTAAATTTATGTTTTTAAGTTATATTAATTAGTTTGGAGTTTTACCTATATTAAGAAAGATGGGTTGAAAATTTTGTGTCAACTCGTAACCAATATTATTAAATTGAGTCGACTTAAACCAAAATTTTAATAAAATTGTATCTCTTCTAAAATCTTTTGATAAATCTTCGAACAGTTTTGAATATGACCATCTTTTCGTGAGTAACATTATATACTTGTTCAGAAAACAGAAAGAAAAAGTTGGAATTATTATAAGTTTGATTTGAACTTTTGAGGGACAAGTTTCTTCTTCTTAAATGTGTTTCTTCATTTTATGTATCTATGGTGGTTACGAAATTATTCATCCTATACCTTTTTTTTGTAGAAAAATGAGAATATAAAAGCTACTTGTTGCATGACAAATTGTCCACACTGTCCATTAATAACTAATTAATAAACCAGTATTCAGAGTTGCGTTTCTTGTATGTCAGCATGACGAATAACCTGTATTTTTATCTAAGGAAAAATCAAACTAAAGTCTTCGTAGGATGACTAAGAAAATTATGATATCTTATCAAATTTGAACTTAGAATCAATACAAAATAATTTCACGTCTTTTACTTCAATTCCTCATTATGTTTGTTGGATGACTTTGCTTATTTGTGTTAATCTGAGTTTGAAGTTGCTTATGTTGCATGGCAGAAGAGAGAAAATAACTGTTTCAGTGTAATGTGATATCATTATAAGCCTTTGCAATTGTGCAGCAGAAAGAAAGAAGAGAACTGTTTTACAATTTTATTTTTCCTACCAACCATCTCAATGAAGGAAATGTGGATCTCTCTCTCTCATATGTTTTACTTAAATGAAGTTGAAATGATTACTATAAATATAATATATAGCAACAGCGAAGAAGTGCCGTGACTTCTGCAAACGTGTGTTATGGAGTAGAGAGACACTGCCACCGACCCTATAAAGTTGGCTAATAATCACATCCAGTTCCATTATAATGTCATACAGATTATAATTATCATTATCTTTAGCTTTTTTATTTTCTTCTGAACACATATCTCAAAATACACACCAATCAAAGGAGGCAACTTTTTGTTGTCCTATTTTGAATTCTGATATTCATATAACACTTCGTTTTTCCTAACATTCTAGTGGAGTATCATTACTTTGCAATAAAAGATAAGTATAACTCAAAGTTACTGAAGGTGAAATCCACTTCTCTAGAAGGAAAACTAAGCATGAACTATTGGAACTCAAATGCACGCACCTATACAAGATGAATATGTAGAAGTTGTAAAGGCTTGTGATGTTAATCTGAATCCACTATACTACTCTTTTTTCTTTTACTTTCTTTTTTCTTTTTGGGGAAAGCTTAGCCATCTATTTACTCTTCCTATTTTTAAGTTTTTCACACACACACATACATATCGATCGTGCGAGGGTCACTTGCCTATAAAAGGGATGCTCAGAGGCTGAAGATCCTAGCCTTCACAAACCTAATGAGAACTTGGTATCTTCGCCAAAATATGAAGTCCTACTTTGCTTTTTTCTTAGTATTCTCTCTTCTCCTGGTAAGCTTTTATGAAAGTTTATTTATCTTATTTGAAGCATCTTTTGTCGTATGTTGTTTGATGATGAGCTTTCTGTTCTTTTTTTTTCAACTGAAATAGGTTGTTAACCTTAGCTATGCAAGAAAAGACATGGGAGACTATTGGAAGAACATGATGAATGGCCAACCTATGCCGGAAGTAATCAAAGACCTTCTTGCTCAAGATCCACAAGTATCAGATGCAGTGAAGGATCATTTTATTCGGGACTTTGATATACGGCCAAATGTCATACTATATCACACACATGTTGTGTCCAACAAGCAGAAACAGAAGCAGCAAACCATGGCCAAGAAAATAGAACCAGAGTTTCAAGGAACAGGAAGACATGGTTGAACAAACTAACAAAAAGGGATTGAAGCTCAAATCATTTGCTCATGGTTAGAGAAGGACGATACACATATCTCTAGATAGTATATAGCCTATAAAACGATCATGGTCTTTTGTATCTTGTAGAGCTATTCATGTTTCTAAACCTCTCTTTCTGCTGAACACTTGAACCCTTTATTTATAGATATCTATCTCTATGGTTATCCTTTGTTTAGCTGCATATATCTCTGTGTCCTGCAGAATTTTTATTATCAATAGACATGATGCTTCTTTTCACTCTCTCTTCAGTCTTCATAAATTTCTAAAAAAATTGTATCAAGTCCTCAGAAAGATCTACTTGGTGAGCCATGAGATAGTTTTTTACCTATTTCCTTCTCAGAGTTTCAAAGAAAATAAAGCATATTAATTTAGATCAAGATTTTATAATCTTCCATCTGAAGTGAATCTTCTTTCTTGGGTCCTTCCTCTCCTCAGATCAGTTAACTTTATTTACCCAAAAAGTACAAAATAAAGAATCTAGTTTATATCCCATGACATTGACAAAATGTTATAATTCTTAGGATGGTTAAGAATATGATTGCATTCAACTAAGAATATGTTGATTTCTATGTACTATAACAAAACAAAGAAATGTGTGAAATAATTATAAGCAAAACGTGTTGCTGTTTTATATTTTGGGACCCTGTTGAATCGGTACGGTTTGTGTACTTGCAGAAACATAAAGCCAACATGATTCACAATTAGTTTCTTTTCTATTTTAAGGTTTATTTTGTCAAAATGCAGGGGTTGAATCAAATTTTTTTTTTTGGTTTATACAGACAATATTGTTTGGACCCAAGCCCATTGGGTTTAGTGTGGATAGCCCAGCTTGATTGGGAGGATTCTTCAACAAAGAAAGTTCAGACTACTGTTGGTAATGTTCCTTCAAAATGCATTGTGGCAGTTACTCAAACATGAACCTCTGACTTCTACTACGGTTTAAAAAACAAAACTAAAGTGTAGCTAAAAAATGGAGAACACATGAACTCGATTCCACTCAAGATGTTTCTCACTTCTACCAACCTTCTTTGATTTTTTTTTAATACAAAGTATATTAGGATAGGAAGAACTTCTAGTAAACAATTCTAAAAAATAAAAATTAAATAAAAAAATCATAGTTAAGTTTAACTTATGCATAAAATTAATTTATAAGTACTTTTTTATATAGCTTTTTTAATATTTTTAATTTGTATATAAATTAATTTTAACTTATAAAAAAATCATTTTGTTTTTATTTTTTTATACTTTATAAAATACTCTGTTCAAACATATTTTATATATGTCTCTCACCTTGAGAATGTTTTTGTTTTGTTACATAGATTTTTTTTAGAACAGTATAGACTAAAAATGTTAATATAAAAAATAAAAAGTAAGACCGATAAATTGATAAAATTTAAGAAAAAAAATATTATTAAAGTCAAAATAATAATATCTCCAAGGCAAATGTACTTTTTAATGTCGACACCCACCTTGTGTTGGACCAATTTTTATCTTTTTTGTTTGTTATAAAAAAGAAAAAGGAAAAAAAAAGAAAAGATAGTGGTAGACTACCCATTTTCAACGAGAGACTCTTAAAAAAAATTGTAAATTTTATGAAGACAATAGATACCTTAAAACAAGGTGAACGATCTTTTTTAAGACAGATCCACAAGCTTTTCATAAATTAAGTTAAAATTAAAGTAATTGAGCACCAAAAATAATTATTTTAATTAAATAATAAAAAATAAATATATTTCATCGCTATTTTATAATTCCTTTTCAACTACTTTTAATACATTCAAATTAAATGAAAATTTAAAGATTTTCAATGAGGATTATTTGGACCCAGATGACGCTAATTTTCTCTTTTGTGTTGAGTTTTAATTTAAACCTTTGCTTAGCTTTGTTCCTACTATTGAATGATTGATGACGTGTTTCACAACCTTTATCCGTAACATGGTTTGTCTTTTGTTATATAAACTAAACTTAAACAGTATTGAGTTTAGTACAATAAAAAAAACAAAATAAAATTTGTTTTAATAATTTCTTTATGGTTAGTAGAGTGCTCATGTCTTAAATTTTCTTTAATCAACTCACTCAATAATTTTTTATTTTAAAACCTGATTCGTTGGTTTTATTTTTCAAATATTATCTATCTTAAAATTCTGATTCGTTAATTTTTTACTTTTAAAAGATTATTCGATGGGTTACAAATTAAAATATTTGAAATTACTTATGTTTTTATTTCTTAATTAATGGATATATAAATGTATTTGTGTATTTATATTTTATTATATTTTTTATTTTAATTTATTAAAATTTATTGATATATTAAGTTTAAAATATAAATATTTACTTGTGTTTTCTATTTCTTAATTAATGGAAACATAAGTGTATCTATATTTTTATATATGTATTTTTATTGTATTGCTTATTTTAATTTATTAAATTTAATGTATATTACGTTTAAAATAAAAATATTTATTTTTAAAATTTTGAATTGTTAAAGACAATGGCAGAGTTTTGATAAAAGAGAAAACTAATAGAGCGTGTAATTGAGAAAATAAAGAAAAAATTATATATTTTTATTTATTATTTTATATTTGAGAGAATAAAATTAAGAAAAACATGAAAAATAAAGAAAATAAAACATAAATATAAATATAAATTATATTTTTTTAGATGATTAAAAAAACGATTAGAAAAGAAAATCTTATTTATATACTATCACTAATTATAAATTATATGTTTAGAGGGAAGAGAGATGACATGAAAAGAGAAAATAATAAATATAATGAAAATTTCTGAAAACAAAATTTAAAACATTAACACAAACGTAGTAAGTAAACATCGAAATATAATTATAAAAAATATTTTATAAATGTCTAATATTTTGTCCTATAAAGATTGCCATGAATATATATATATTGAATATTTACTGTGGTAGTAGCTGTAAAGTTGTCTTTTCTCTTTGGCTTTCACTGAATACGGTTCCTTGTGACCTCCTCGTTTCATCTCCATAATTAATGCACATCTCACTCTCTCTTCTTCTTACCTGCAAAAGGGTCTTCTCTTTCTAAACAATGTAAATCAATGAAGCTGAGTTCTCATTAGAAATGAATTTCGAGAGATCAAAGAACATCTTAGAAAGAGAGAAATGAATCAAACATTGCTTGATAGATAGTAAAATTGCAAGCATGAGAACTCAGCAAAAAATTGACGTTATTATACACTGTTTCAACTTTAACTCTGGTTGAATAGTTAGAATCACCATGTTGAAAAAGAATATAAGAAGGTTGAAAGAAGAAGGATATTTGTAAATTAACTTTGATCTCTACTTAAAAATTCTGAGATCTTTTCTTTATATATCAAAATACAGTATAATAAAAACAGAAGAAATTATTGCTGGTATTGATCACCTTCCACTTTTTAACATTTCTAGCTCAAATGAGCATCTCAGCCACACATAACAATTGGTAACTGTGGATGGAATACTCATTTGAGCAAGAAACATTACAAAGGGACTTCAACATCTTTGTTATGGTGCAAGAAGGAGCAACAATGGGTGGTATTTATTTGAGAATGAGAATGATGAGTTAAAGTGGTTGAGAATGGCATGGTGGTTGACAGTCAGCTAAAGATTTTGATAAAGAAAGAAATGACTTACAGTTGTGGTGTGGGAATTCATAGAATGGCAGCTCAATACATCTATTCAAGCCCACCAACCAAAACCAGTGTTACTCAATCTTCAACCTATGAGCTTCAATCACCATATTATAGGTAAAATTAACTTCTTTTCATTTTGTTCTTTCTATTAGTTTAATGTGTGTTTAATTGAATGAATTTATTTTAACTAAAGTTGGTGTGTTTTATATTTAAATATTTTTTTTATTTTAAAATCATTTTGTTCTTTGCACTTGGATTAAAATCATGGATCATTTCCTTTTAAGCTCCAAATCATTATCTTGTAATAAAAAATATTATTTACAAAATTTCCTTTCTGAAAGTGAGGAATCTAAGACTGAAAATGTTTGATCTAGAGCTTATGAAAATCTCTTGACAAGTTGCCTTTTGTTTACACCGTACCCTATCTACCCACTTTCTTAGCTTTTTTTATGTCACATTTTCAATATTTTTTTTTCATTACACAATATTTTTTTTACTTTATTAATAGATATATAAGACAAGAAGAAATTCAAAATATAGGTATAGAAAATTTTAAAATAAACCACTTTTAAACATAATTAAATGTATTAATGGTAATTAACCTAACCCTCTTTGAAGTTGTCATTAATTATGTCTTGACCAATTGAAAATTTATTTTGACATTCTTGTGTGATAATATGTATTAATTTAATTATAATCAATAAATATTACTTTATATAACTTTATTTTAAAGAGTAATAGCGGAAAGCCATATAATTTAAACAAAATATTTGCATACAAATATATTTCACATAAACATTAAAGTTGTTTCACATGACATTTCAACTCATTTCTAATTGAAGACTTTGTTCAAAATTATAACAAGTAAAAAATTTAATCGTAAAGTTTTTTAAATGCTAATTTCTAATTTTTTTATGTTTATTCTCCATTTATTTTTAAACAATTTATCACATTGTCAAATTAATTAATATAACGGAATTACAATGTCTACTTAAATGTAAAACATTTTTATTTTGTTTTATATTTGACAAAAAAATTACAAAAACTAAAAGTAAAAACCGTAATTAAAATTATTGATTTGTAAATAAAAAATAAAAAAACTATAAAATTTATTAAATCTAAAAAATTGTAAATAGTCTAAAATATATTTTAATAATAAATTAAAATTTATACAAAACATCATATTAATAGGTACATTTTTACAATTTTTATTTATCAATCATTTTAATAGATAAATTTATTAAATATTTATAATTTAATTTAATAATTTTTTATTATCATGGACGAAATAATTCTTCAATTTTTTTTAGTTAATTTTGACAATTATTTTATTTTGGTATATATTTGTATATAAAATTTATAAACATTTTCTATTCTTAATTTATAGAAATAATTTTTAAAAATAAAATTGTAAAAAAAGTTATAAAATAGATAATATTATTTTTTTATATATAAATGTTTAATTAAAAAATTTGAAATTAAACAAAATGTTAACACTAAAAATAGTTTTTAGTTCATTAATAGATACTTTTAAAAAAAGATTATATGTATGTTTTAACAAGTTTTCTCACAAGTAATTTCTTGAGAAAAAAAAACTTATTGATAAACTAAAATTAATTTATATTAATTTGTTTCAACCAACTTCTCCATAAATCCTTGAAGGGGAAAAAAAAATCTAACTTCTTATTTCATAGTCATGGTTCATGTCAAGAACAGCATGTCATGGTTCATGTCATTATTCCGCAGGACAAGAGTTTAGCTTACAAGATTAGTTTATTAAGTAGTAATTTATTGGTACAAGCCTACAATGTGAGCCTCTTGTTCATACCCAAAGTAAGAAACAGATGATAATCTTATAACAAAGTTTTGCCTTAATTATTTAGCTCCACACAGAGCACATATTTTTGTAATCAAACATGGATGAGGCAATACATATGTAAGCACAACACTAAAATCACATGGTTGCAAGACCGTGTTGTTGCAGTTTGGGAACCAAGATGAGATTATCTGCGGGAAAAAAATGGCACACAGAAGTGGATCCTGGTTTAACCTTCAGAACTTGAAATGAAACATGACCATGGCCCCATTGGGAGGTATCCATGTGACAAACAACCATGGCTTCCACCCTATCCCCGTTTTCACCACCAAGTGCCACCCTAAATATCTTGTTCTCACTTTCTTGGCTGTGGCAGTAAAAAACAGCATAAGGGTAAGGCATGGTATGGCAAGCCACCATCTTGGAAGCTGGGATCTTTACTATGTTTTCGAAAGTGTAGTTTTGGAAAGTGACACTGGATTTAGTTTTGTGAGAGGTGGTGAAAACTTGGAGATCATAAGTGATGCCAAGAATGGTTTGAGTGAAGTCAAGCATGGACTCTAAAGAGGTGGCACAGAACTTTACCTCTCCTTTGATGGGTTTGCTTTCACATTCCCTCAGGGTGTCTTCCATGGCTTTGGCTTGGGGAGAGTTTGGAGATAAAGAGAAGACTTTAAGAAGGTTTGGGAGTTGGTTCAATGAGAAAGGGAGTGAGTCAGCTTCTTTTCTTGGCCACAACTCAGGGGATGTTGCAGGGTCCCTCTTGGGAAAATAAATTGGCATTGTTTTCCCAGCCTTCAAATCTTTGAAGGTGAAGAACACCATCACAGAAGGGTCTATGTGATCCATGTGGGAATGAACATGTGTATGTTCTCTCTGCACTGTTTCATGATTCTCATCAGAGATTGCTTCCAAGATTTTGTTTTCTGTTCCACTTCCCACCAATTCCCTGGCTCTGCTGCCACTGGAACACTAGAAAAGTTCAATGAAAAATACTTGTTAATTTAAAGAATTTAGCATGAAAACTGAAATGAAACAAAGTTCCGAGGAACATATTGGCGTGGAATGTACTGTGATTATCAGTAGATGAAGAAAGATGATCCATGGCTTATATTTTTCGCCCATGTTTTGCTTGCATGCAATGAACACCCTTCTTCACCTTTGTGTAGAAGAACAAAACAACCATCCAACACAGTGACTCAAAGTGGATCCTGGCAAAAGACTTGTTCAGGGACCAAACAGATCACATCTGATAAAGTTTCATTAATGACTCATTTTCTCAATACTTTCCATTAACATTAATAATAAACAATAAATAGTATATTTGTACATTTTATAAGAAAAAGTTAAACATAAATTTCACTTCTATATCTATGTCCTTACAACACAGTTTTCTTAATTAAAATGCTATGTAAATAAATATTTGGTTTTAGATAACTGATGTGAATATTTAACTTTATTTTATAGTTTTAACTAATTGTTATATTAACATTTAATTATTTATACAAACTAAGATAAAATATATTTTTTATCTCATATTTTTGTCATAATTAATTTTTGTTTTTATATATTAAAATTGAATAAATTAATCCTTAAAATTATATATATATATATATATATATATATATATATATATATACAGCTATTTGATTAAATTTATAATAAGAAAAAATTATATTAAATATCAAATTTAGATATAAAGAATGATTAAAATTACATTTAATCTTTTCATTAATTATATTAAGATAAAAATTATAATTAGTTATTAAATTTAAATATATAAAAAACTAAAATTATATATTTCAAAATAAAAGAATTAATTTAATTAACTTAAAAATATAAAGATCAACGTCAAATTATGACAAAAATATAATATATATTTTTTCCTTTAAACAAAGTAATCAATAAAAATTTCGTGAAACAACTTTACTTAACTTAAATCATCGTGATGAATAAATAAATAAATAAATTATCAATATTAAATTACAAAATTATATTAAATATATTTAATTAATCATGTCATTACTAATTTTCATTTTACTCTTAGCAAATTTGAAGATGGATTTAGGAGAGTGAAAAATGAGTGGATCAGCGGGGAAAGAGAGATAAAAATAGAATTATTTAGATTAAAGGAAAATGAGTGAAAAATAAAGAAAATGAGAGAAAATTTTGTAAAAATTTGTCGATGATAAGATTGATTTGATAAATTAAAAAAAAATTTATTGATAAATTTGGAAGATAACAATTTTATCCTTACCTTAAAAAAGTTATTTAAAATAAAATATAAGTGATATAAATTATATTATTTAAAATAGAAAAATTTTAAATATATAAAATTATTTTTAATATTTAGTATAAATAAATAATTAAAAAATAACTTTTAATATTTTATTTTTTTCATTTATTTGAAATAGATTTTTGTATATTATTAAAACATAATTTGGTTTTTATATATGAATTAAATTATATTTTTTTTGTAAAAAAACAACTAAATTAATAATGATACGTACAAATTTAGCTAAATTTAAAAATAATTATAAAATATTGAAATTATTTTCAAAAGTTTATTTTAATTTATTTAAATTTTAAAACAGCATTAGTTTTTATATATTTTAAAATATGAAATTAATCATTTAATCATGCAAAATTTATAGAAGAAAGTAGAATAAAATTTTGATATTAAAAAAGAAATAATCTATGTATTTTATGTGTATGCGATATGTGGCCACCTATGGAATCCAATATCTTAGAGTTGAAAACCGATACTCCAACCATTAAAAATATAAATATGTAAATATATAAATATATCAAAATATATAAATATATAAATATATCAAAATATAAATATATTTGTATTTATATATTTTATATTTATATATTTACACGGATAAATATAAATATAATTTATTTGTTAGTTATTATTAGAATATCCTAATAGTTTAGTGGTTAGAGTATCGGTATCTAACTCTAAGATCTTGAAAGTAATTCCTTAATTCATAATTTATGAAATAAATAAAAAATCAATACATTGATATCTATATTTTATTTTTTAAATAAATAAATATAATATTTTTCATTGATGTCATTTAATTGTCTCGATATCTATATTACATGATATATTATTAATATATACAACAATACATTATCATATATGACTATTATATTAATTGCATCGAACCCTCACAACTCCACCATTATCTCAAGCTTCTCCACTTGATTTTATATATATAGTTAATTGAGATCAAATAATATATTATTAATAAATAAAAATGAAAAGATAAAAAATATGAAAGGGTAAAAAATCAAATTTATAAATATACAGTTATTATGGAAATTTATAAATATACAGTTATATTTCATCACACACACACATATTTCATCACACACACGCACACGCACGCACACACGCACACACACGCGCACGCACACACACGCGCACACACACACGCACACACACACGCACACGCACGAACACACGCACACACGCACACACACACGCACACACGCACACACACACGCACAAGCACACACACACACGCACACGCGCACACACACACGCACACCCCCCCCCACACATACACACGCACACACACACGCACATGCATCAAAATAGCGAGAGTCGATTATCGTTTTATCACACACACACAAGCATCAAAATAGCGAGAGTCGATTATCGTTTTATCACCTCCTAATGAAACAATTCTCTCATCCAAAATCAATTCTTTATACATTTTTCTGCCTCCCTTAACCACTTTCAACAACTCTTGACCAATTTTCGTACGAACGCAATACGCATACACCAAATCACTACCATGAACTCACTCTTACACACAAACGTTCAATAATACACGACTACGACCACCTCCTTTCCCATTTCCCATATATAATGATGACTTCAAGTTGGGGGCGAGAACTTTAATTACATGTCTCATATGCTTCAACTACAACAGTTACCTACCATGAGAAGGATGCATACACAACCACTAAACATGATTCTTTACCATATTTGGATGCATGTAGAACCACGTGGAGGATTCTGTTTACAAATGTGGGATTATGCTTCATGTGAGAAGCATGGATAAGTGTAACACAGTCATTACACCTTCTTTCCTCTATGTTTTTTCGCTCTTCTTTGCAATGTAGCAAGGACTCTTCTTCCATAATCTCCCTGTAACATGTGAGCCAAAGAGCAATGCCCAAAACGTGACCTTAAATGAAAACGCTGTTATGGAAACTGAAGGGAAGGTAGTTACATCAAGGAGCTACGTGGCGTGCGATCCGTGTATGCAGGGGAAAAGAAAAAGCATGAGGAAAAAGAGAAAGAATGTTTTATTAAGGGACTATGTGTGAGAAAAGAATCAGGCAATTGGTAACCTACTCTCTGAAAATCTCTTACACTATCTTCTCTCTGATTTCTGTTTCTGAATATTTCTTCCTCTATTACAGGTATCCTATCCATCTGCTGCATTTGGACGTGGGGGTTATCCAATAATTCTGACTTTTCAGTTACATATATTTTGATACTGTTTCTATCCTTACTATACGAAGTTGACTTTTCAGCTGTAATACATATAACAATATACATAATTCTCTATTTCATTCAAATATACAATCCTTGTTACAATTGGTGCTTTCATTGTCTTCCATGGCTGAGAATACTCGATTGAAGGAAATGCAAGCGACGATTAAATCACAAGAGGCAGAACTTAAAAGCTTAGGCGAGTTGTTAGAATTAAGTCACAAGGAACAAAGAGACTTTGCCGCTCAAGCTGCGATTGCCCAATCTGGCGTCCATTTTCGATTGGATGAGCTTGAATTAGCATTGAACCAGCTTCTCAACCAACAGGCTCAATAGAATGGAGGTTCTTCATCGAACAACGACTCCCCTTTGGTTACTCCAGTGAATATGGATCTTCCTGTTAAACACATTTCTCTAGGATTTCCTCCCTTCGATGGTACAAGTCTCGTTTTGGAATGGATTTTCAATGCTGAGAAAATTTTCAACTATCATCATACACCAGATGCGAGCAGATTGGACATTGCTGCGATTCATTTTGAGAAGGAGGTGGTTCCTTGGTTTCAGATGCTACAAAAGCTCTCTACAATTCATTCGTGGAGTGATCTGACACGTGCGTTGGAATCTCAGTTTGGTCCTTCTCCTTTTGACTGTCCAATGGCTGAGTTTTCAAGTTGCAGCAGATTGGTACAATATCAGATTATTACTTGAAATTCATGTCCCTAGCTAATCGATCCTTTGGTTTATCGGATGAAGCATTGTTGAATTGCTTTTTGAGTGGTCTCCATACTGAGATACGTAGAGATGTGGTAGTCCAGGCTTCATCGTCGCTATTGCGAGCTGTAGCATTAGCAAAATTGTATGAAGATAGATACACCTCTCCAGTTAAATCTCCTACGGTACCTATTCGTCGTTATTCACCGATATCTACTCCAATTTATACATCTTCTCTGATTCAATCCAAACCAGTTACTAAGCCAACCTTACCACCCTTATTGCCTACCCCTAATGTTCCGCCATTGCGCAATGTTGGTATAAAAAAAATCAGCCCAACAAAGATGCATATTCGACGAGAAAAGGGATTATGTTATTTCTGTGATGATAAATTTACTTTGAACCATAAATGCCCTAATAAGTAGTATTTGTTTTTGCAATTGGAAGAGGAATTGGAAGACTCTAATCATGAATCACCTCCTGGGGTTGATTCCACAAAATTGAATATGACACCAATATTGAAGGATCATCATTTATCCCTCAATGCCTTGAAGGGTGACATAAGGGCAAGTACTATCAGATTTTTAGCTTACATTCATAAGTTACCTGTCACAGTGTTAATTGATGGTGGTAGTTCAAACAATTTTTTGCAGCCTCGTGTTGCAAAGTTTTTTAAAATTCCTATAGAACCAGCTCCATTGTTTAAAGTAATGGTAGGGAATGGAAACTACATGACAGCGGAGGGTTTAGTTCAGAAATTGGTGGTACAAGCTCAGGGTAATACTTTTACATTACCTGCTTATTTGCTTCCTATTTCTGGAGCAGATCTTATTTTGGGAGCTAATTGGTTGAAAACCATTGGGCCTCACATGGTTGACTATGAGGCCCTGAACTT